ACTCTTTGTTTGATCTGTTTCCAGCATGTGTGATTGCTGGAAAAGGACTTTCAGGGCTTCTTCTGGTTAGAATCTCTGATATTGTGCAGTGGCTTGATAATTGATCCACTTCAGGACATCAGATATTGAACACTTCCTCTGCTTCTTGGTGGAGGGTAAGGAGAAGTGATATTTTAAAAGAAAGAAAGAAAGAAAGAAAGAAAGAAAGAAAGAAAGAAAGAAAGAAAAAGACTGTAATAGACCATTGCTGATGTGATACATCACTTATATTTGTTTTTAAATCTTCATCTTGTTTGAAAAGCCAGTCGAGAAACTGCCTGCAGCCAATTCCAATTTCAATTCCTCGTGGCGCAGTGGTTAAAACGCTGTACTGCAGCTAAAACTGTGCTCATGACCTGGGGTTCAAATCCCAGGTAGCCAGCTCAAGGTTGACTCAGCCTTCCATCCTTCCGAGGTCGGTAAAATGTGTAGCCTGTATAATTAAATTGTAAACCGCCCGGAGAGTGCTTGTAACGCTATGGGGCGGTATATAAGTCCAATAAATAAATAAATAAATAAATAAATAAATCCCACTCCCCCAACCAACAATTTAATTAACATGTTAATAATATTAATTCCATTAGTTAAATTTTTCAAATGTTAAATGTTAATACCAATAATTAATTTTCCAATTTCTAATATCTGATATTAGCAAATAAATTCTTAGTCCTAAAATTCCAAGCTCTGCTCATGACAGTATTTATAGGAAATTATATATTGGCTGAAATTCTGTTGCTTAGCATAGTAAATTGCAAGTGCAATAGACCCACTGAATCGGTGAATATTTAGTGAGTCAACTCTATATGTTCCATTGATTTGGTAGGCCTACTCTTGTTGCAACTGACCACACTAAACAACAGGATTTCAGCCAATGTCTTGGAAAACTTCATAAATAACTGAAGTACCTTTCCCATTTATTTCTTTTTTTATATATGTTCACTGATTTGAATTTGTAAAAAATAAGACTGTAATACTGAAAAAAATTAGATTTTAAAACTTACTGCATTATAAAATATGCCAGATTCATAATTAGAAGCAAAGCTTCTTTAAGAGGTAAAAGATGTTTGCCTTTTCCACAACTAGGTTTCTGCAGCTATGTAAGTTGCAAATTAGCTTCCTTTTATTTGGTCATTTTTCATCCAGAAAATAAACAATGGGCTTTAATTGCAAGTTGAATTAGCATGCATAATTCATCAGAAAATGCCTGTTCTTCAGCCATGCTTCTTACATCCAATTCACATGTCACATTTGCTTCTCTTAGGCTGAAAACGTATATTCACAGTATTCTTATTTTCTAGCTGAAATCCTATTGCTAAGTTAAGTGAAATCACATAGTTGCATAAGCAGGTTACTGCTAATTAAGAAGGAGCTGTTAACATTCTTGATTAGGCTAAAGCAGACCTGGGCAAAGTGTGGCCCGAGGGCCACATACGGCCCGCAAGCCACTCCTGTCCGGCCCGCAGACAGTTTTGAACATCAAAACCATTTATAGCTTTTTGTCTAAAGTTGATCAGTTGCTTATCTTTAACATACCACAAAAATCTCTTTAGTATTTGTGAAGATTAATACGTTTAAAATAAAAACAATCATCACATCACTGTTTCATTTTATTTTTAAGTAAAGTTGGTTTGGCCCCCAAACACAGTTCAGATTTTTCATGTGACCCCCCTATAGAAATTAATTGCCCACCCCTGGGCTAAAGGCATGAACTAGCAGGGATTCACTGCTGCAATATACTGTACATGATTTGACTTAAGGATGTGTGAATCATCAATTCTGGCCATTATTAAATCCCTGCATATTGGATCGTAACCATTTGTACTGCTTGCAGTCTGCTCAGTCTTCATGGCTCCTATGAAATGCTTAGGTCTGAGTTTCCCAAGGTGGGTGTTGTAGTGCTCCATGCCCCTTGCAGTGCCCTGCAGCTCCCTGGTGCACCACAAAACTAGCCAGAAGCAACACAGAAGCTTTTCTTTGTTTTCTTCACCAAGCCAGCAGGGGTACTGGTGCTACTCTTCCAGCTCCAGCTTTAGCTCCTTTGTGCTTCTTTGTTTCTTGCTCCACCCTACACCCTTGCTGCTCTTCCTGCTCTGCCACCGTTGCCTCTACCACTCAGAGGAGCCACAAGTGGAAGAAGTTTGGAAACCACTGGCCTAGGGTTTATGGATGCCTGTACATGTATATACACATAAAGACCCACTGTTAGCAGGAATTTGTATATTTTTTTTGAGGGGGGGGGATTAAGTAGGGACTATTATTCAAAGGCTATGCACATTTAGTTCCCTGAATTGGTATAAAACAGGTTCATAAATTTTCTTCTGTTCTAGATTGCTAGATGAGTGATATGATTTGCTAAGAAGCCAGGAGTTCTACAAAATATTTTTCAAAAGAAAGGATAGATAATGTGAGCATCATTCATTCATTCA